GATGTGGGCAGTGCAGGTGGACAGTGCCTTGGAAGCACCTGTTTTGGAGCTTTGGCGGACAGTGAGAAGAATGTATGTGTAGGATATCAGCAAAAGAATAAAGCAGGTTACAATCACAATTCCACTGTCAGCATTCATTAATGTTCCCAAGTCAGAAGATTCCATGCAGGCTAGCTTGATTATCAGTGGTACATCACAGAAGAAGCTATCCATTTCCCTGGGGCCACAGAATGGCAGTTGCATAATCACAACCATTTGACTCATGCCATGCACAAAGCCAGCTGTCCAGGATGTCAACACTAGTCCAATGCACCTCTTCAAGTTCATAAAGGTGGAGTAGTGCAATGGTTTGCAGATGGCCACATAGCGGTCATAGGCCATTGCCACCAGAAGCACCATCTCACTCCCTGCGATGAAATGGACAAAGAGGATCTGGCACATGCAGCCTCCGAAGGAAATGGTCTTGTTCTCATGGAGAAAGTCTGTGATCATCTTAGGAGTTGTCACTGAGGAAAGCCACATGTCAACAAAGGACAAGTTGGCCAAAAAGAAGTACATGGGGGAATGAAGATGAGGGTCGCTGATTATTAAGATCAAGATAACAGTGTTTCCAGATACAATGACCAGGTAAAGCATCAAAAATATCACAAAGAGCAAGACTTGAATATCCCATGAGTGGCAAAGTCCCAGAAGCACAAATTCTGATACTACAGATTGGTTTCCTGAATCCATTCTTTGAAGTATGTGCTTTTAATTAGTCTAGAAGTGATAGATTACCAGTTAACGGGATGAGAAAAGGAACTTAAATTTTGGAATTTGATATTCACGTTGATATTCAGCATCAATATTTGTAATTGAAAAGCAAATTTTGACATGAATTATTAGTCAAATGTACATGGGGTTGTGCCCAAATTAGAAGGTAAAGGTTTTCTAAAAATGACTTTTTCTGGAAGAAGTCTGAGATGCAATTCTAATCCAAAGGATTTAGTGAGTGTTCTCACAAGAAGAGAATCGAGAAGCAGGACAGATAAAAGTCTAAGAGGATGATTGTGAATCTGTCCAGTATTCCAATAGAAGTAACCCTAATTAGGCCAAATATTTAGGAGTATGATGGTTTAGTGATATTCAAATGCAGTACCACTGACATGATATAACATAAGTTTCTCTGTATTATATGTAATGACTCCTTCAAACTTTGATTGAACTTTTTAAACTAGAAATCCTATTTTACTTTAATATTATCCTTTTCAAACATACCCATACATTGAGGAAACCTTTGAAAGAAGCTACACAAATCAATATATACTAGTCATAGTGGTATAAGTGTTTGGATGCAAAGCTAGTACATAATTTATCATTAAGTGAAGCTTAAAATCTAATGGCATTCATTTAGCAGGGTATTTGGACTAAAAACACATGGCAGTACAGTAAATGTAGAAAGGGATTAGCCAAAGCTGTGTGTGATTGTGTCTCCGACTCTGACTTCTTTAACTCTGAATGCAAGTTTATTAATTAAAGCTTTTCAATAATTAATATTTACCTTCAATTTTACAACTAGATTTTAGGAAATTATTGGCTTTGGAATATTGCAATCCTCAGATCATCAGAGATGAAAATGTTTTGTACCTATTTATTCTATTTTTGCAAGTAAAAAATTACATACACTTGTAAGGTATGTCTTTGATTGTTAGAACTAAGTGAAGGTGAAGTTCAATGTACAGTGAATTTCTAAATATATTAGTGATATTGATTACCTTGATTTCTAAATAAATACTTAAGGAAATTAAGAAATTAAGAATTAAGAAATCCTTGATTTCTAAGGAAATACCTAAGAAATTCCTAAGTATATACTGGAAGTAAAATAGTCTCTTTCTTTCCCTTGGGTATTTTTTTATGCTCAGCATTGAATCATTTTTTCTGTATTTCTTGGTTGTGTTTCACTTTTCTTTTCTTTACTTTCTTTTTTTGGACAGTTTTGTATATTATTTGGAATTCATGTGTGTACCCAAGAAAGTAGATGAAAATGCAAATTGCTACATCATGGTGAGAATTGGATTTAGTTTCCTTTCAATATTTATAGAGCTATAGAGTAATGATGGAAAGAGAAAATTTTCCTAAATACATTACTAAATAGCACATACATTTAATGAAAAGGGAAACATACCATACAAATGAACATATCTTCTATGATAGATTTACTCAATTTCTAATGAAAAATTCTGGTTTTGAGCACTGACAAATTTGAATAATCTAGCATTTACCTTTAACCTTAATTTCTTATCAATACAAAATTTTCTAGAAAAATGTTTGAAGAGTACTTCTGTACTTTTGGTACAAAAAGCATTGAGAAATGATATGATCAATGGTAATTGTATAGACTTTTATGGCATAAAGTACCGATAAAAATCATAATACCAAATAATTTCCCTGGTGTGAAAAACTTAAAGTACAAATAAGGATCAAAATGTATAATTGATATTGTGAAATAGAAAGAAAATGTCTAAAGGAGTAGAGAAATGGGAGGAGTAAGGGAAAGGAAAGAAGGGAAAAGAAAAAATATAAGAAAAGGAAAAAAAATGGAAGAAACACCTTTGTAAATAGGGAAGGGTGGAGGGTGTGAAGGGAGGGCAGGGCAATGGGGAAAAAATAAGAGCCAAGATACAACAGGTAAAGATACAAGATCTTAATGATAAATGTAACTATAATGTATACCTACAAATGTACCAAGAAATTTAATGGAAAAAAATCATACTGCTTTCTAAATGAGTTTTGAAATTTTGAATATTTCATATTAGGAACTAATTATACTATTCCATTATTATTAATCAATCTTAAGATGAATTTGTAGAATAAAATAATCATAGACTTGTTTTAGTCAGACCTGGTCTGAAATCTATATCTTTCTGACCAATGAATTTAAACTTAATGAAGTTCTTTTTTCATTTCCTCATTTTTAAAAAGAATACATTTAGTCTACCTTATGTGTCCTGAAGAAAACTTGGAAAATGGAGAAAAACTCTTCAATTTCTTCAGTACTCAGTTAATGTTAATAAATATTACTTGATTTTCATCTCTATTCATTAGGGTAAATATTAAAGCAGTACATTTTCCAGAGCCTGTTGTGAATAATATCACTGTATATCTTTAATTCTTTATTACTTCATTATTCTTTTTATTTAATTATGGGTATTTATGGTACTTTCTTTAAGCAAAATATACATGATGAAATTTCTTTAAAATACTTCTTACATTTTCTCTATATTCATATCTTTATATTGTCAGCAATCTTATAAGATAAAAAGATAAAATAAATTGTCACACACATTTGTTATATCCAGGGTTTAGTAGTTTTATCTTATGCTTTACCCTTCCTTGGAAAGGTTATTAATACTATAAGAGATTCTGTAAAAGTAAAGGGGGTGTTCTAGTAAAACACCTTTGGAATTCTTACCTGTGACAAAATAAAAAGTCTCCTAAAGTAGGTAATGCTAACTCTGGGATTGGTGAAATTGAAAAATTAGGAGAAGTAGCATATTCTGCATTCTCATAGAAGTAGTAAATCACACATTTTCATCCATTTTTTTCTGTGTAATCTTATTCCAAAAAAGATAATATATATGATAATAACCATGTAACTGTGAGATTGTCAGTATTTATATTTTTACAGGGAGAAAGTTGGAGTCAGGCTATTTAACAAATACCTAAGATATACACTAAGGTACACCAGCAGGAAAGTCCAAAGTTATTTCTATTTGCTCCTGATAATTTTCTGTTTTCTTCAGTTGTGAGTTTTAATTTTTTATCTGTAGTAATATTATTTCATACTTGATATAAAAACATATTAACTTCTATCTCTTTGCTGAAAAGCATCTTACCTTTAATGCTTATCTCATAGGAAAATAAAATTCTCCCTAAAACTGGAGAGGCCACTCAAAGATGATCATATGAGTAGCCATCAAGAAACTGACCTCCCTCTGCAGCCCTGTGTACTTCTGTGAAGCATGGTGCTATGGTGGTGTGTGCCCTGTACTTAGCAAGACCACAGAAATCCCAGTAAGAATAGGAATAGGGTAGAGCAAGAAAATATAAATTGTCTCCTAAAAATGTTAGAAGCCATTCTCAAGTCAGAGTATAATTGACCTCCATAAAACATAATTAGAAATATTCTTTGAATAATTGTAAAGAAAATGATAGAGATGAGATGACTTACTAAGCACATTTTTTCTCTTACATAAGATTATTTTATAGTCTTCTCTTCTGATGTGCACTTGGAATAATATCCATTGTTGGTGCAGAGAGTGTGTATGGATTCCTATCTCTCAATCTGTCATATATTCATCCCCAGAGAAGATCCCTTGGGTGGCAGTGCCTATTACATGTTTAGAACTGAATAAGCATCATGGAAATTATTTATTTGGAATATCTGTGGGGAATTCTTCATCATGATTGCTATCAACTATTGCATACTCTATAAATTAGACTAAGAAAAAAGGAACTTCCTATAAATCAGCCCAAGGTTAAATGTTAGTGAATTTTTAAAAATTTGAATTATATTTATTTTATCAGACACAGTAAGACAAGTATTACCTCTTGTCTCTCATATGTGGAAGGTAAAAATTTGATTTGAATGTAGGATAGTGACTCATAGAAGTATCAAAAGATGTGTGAGTGTAGATAAAGGAAAATTGTATTTCAAGAGTGCAAGCTGCAAGCATGTAGGGAGAGGCTACACTGAACCTTCTTAATATGTTGTTGTTGTTTTTTTTGGTACCAGGAGTAGAACTCAAAACCTTGTACTTTTGAGGCAGGTGTGGCACCACTGAGAGAAATCTAATATAATATTGGATTTATATTAATATGTGTTAATATATATTAATATATTATATATTAATATGCATTATATTGGTATATATTAATATGTGTTAATTGAAACTAAATAATAAAAATTTTTATACTAATGGAGTAACATGGTATTTTAATACCCAGATTTATTATATAATGTTTGTGAATCCTCCATCTCTTTGGTTACATTACTTGTATCATTAATGCTATTTTAAATGAGTTTGTTTCTTAATTACATTTATGGATAGTTCCTGGATAGTACATAAAATGGTATTTTTGTGTGCTTATAATGTACCCTACAACTTTATTGAATTTATTAGTTCTAACAGACTTTTAGTGCAACATCTTCGGTATTTACAAACTGTATACCTGAAAAGGGGTTAATATCCCAAATACATAAGGATATTTTAAAAATTGATAAACGAGGTTAGGGATGTATATAGCTCAGTAGCAGAGTACTTTCCTAACACGGATAAGATCCTGGGTATGATCCTTAACACCATACACAGAAAATAAAAATTATTGAAGAATTTGAACAGACATTTGTCCAAATAAACATACAAATGGCCACATTTTTTGAAAAAAATGCTCACTATCAATGATTATCTTTGAAGTTTAAATTAAAATACAATCAAGGCATCACCTCACCCCAATAAGAACAGCTATTTTCAGTAAAATTACAGATTTCAAATGTTAGAGAGGATGGAAAAAATGGAACCTCACACCCTGTTAGGGGAACAATATATTAGTATGGTCATAATAGTAACTGTATGGAGATTCCTCAACAACTCAAAATAGAATTATCATACAATTTAGAAATATCTGGGTATATATCCAAAACAAGTCAAATCAGCATATGAAATTAATATCTACATTCTGATTTTCATTGCATCATTATTCATAATAGCCCAATTATGGAATCAACTAAAGTGCTTATGAAAGGATGAATGGATAAAGAAAAACTGGTGTCCAGTATGTCAAAAACGGAGTACTACTTATCTCTTAAAAACCAGGAAATACTGTTTGCATCAACAAGGACTAACTTGAGAGATGTTAAGTGAAATAAGCAAGGAATAAATTGACTAATACTGTATAATACTTATTATAGGTGAAATCTAAAGAAGTTTTTTAGTGAAATAGTGACTGGAGTGGTGGTTTTCAGAGACTGGGGAATGGGATTGTAGAAAAGTGGTATTTGTTGACCAAAGGATACAAAGTTTCAATTAGTGAAGACAACCAAGTAAATCTTTTTCAGTTTCTACTTGTTTATGAGTACAGGTTTGCATTCCATAATGAGGAGGCGGTACATGGACATAACATAAATTAAGACTTTAACATCTATTTTTCATAGGAAGGTAGCCATAGTTAATAATTTATTGTATATTTTAAAATTGCAAGAAGACTTTAAATATTCTCACTTTAAATAAAAGACTATTAACTATGTGAAGTGATAGATATGTAAATGTCCTTATATAATCATTTCAAAATGTGCATCTATGAAAAACTTTATAATGTATCCCATAAATATATACAATTATTTTCAGCTAAAAGGAAGAAATGAAAACCTAGAGTGGTGATCTCCCCCTGATGCTAGCACGCAGGCCCTCTTGGGGCAAACAGCAATGCTCCCCTGACTTAAGTGAGCAGAGCTGTGTTGAATGAATGTCCCTCAATCCCCACATGACCAAGTGAGCCAGTGCTGGATTAGCAGAATACCTCTCCCAATATGAGCAAGCAGGCCTACACCCCCAATGCAATGATGAGAAGACCATCCACCAACTCCAAAGCTGGATCTACATTATTGCTTCCCCTTTGTGTCAGGTAGTAGATGTATAAACTAACCAACCACCTGATCCTGGACAAGGACAATGAAGGGTGAAAGAAAGGAGCAACCAGACATGGTAACCATCCATGTTAGGTCTACCTGTCCACTTGAAGCTTTGCATATATCCAGTTAACACTAGAGGGTTGGTTGCATTTACTATGTGATATCTACCAATGGGAGCAAGGACATGCCTTGGCTTGGCTGGTAATCACAGTCCTCAGTGAATGGAAAGAGAAGCTGCTGGTTCTGGGAGGGAACTGCACAAACCCATAGCCCTAAATCTAGGTGGAGAAAATTGAGACTGGCTTGATCCCAATATTTCAGATCGTGGAAGGAAACCATTGCAAAATACAGGAAATTTTCTTTGATAATTTTTTTAATCCTTCATTCATTGTTTTTTTTTAAAAAAGGATTTAGGGTTTTTGACTCTTTTCCTCTTTTGGTTTCTTTTCTCTCCTTTTTTCTTTTCCCCTTTGAACTCATCTTTCTCTTCCTCAATTTTATTTTACTTTCTGTATTTTGCTCTCTGTTTATCTTTTTTTTTGTTTATTTTTCCCCTGCAACTGTTCTCTCACATTATTAATTCCCTTTTACTCCTCAAAAGGATCCCCTATACCTATCTCAGTTTTATATCCTCTTTCTCATATCATTAATCCATTTTTCAAATTGTTTTTTTCATTTTACAGTTCTTCAATCCTTCTAACTTCATTAGTCTAAGTGTAAGCTGTAAGTTTCTATAGCACTTTAAATTTTAAGATAAACATAGATTAAGAATAAAAGATGACAAAGAGAAAAGCCTAATAACTGACATCAGTATATTAGTAGTTTATATTGGTTCTCTGTCCATGATGAACATCGGTCTGTATTTTTCTTTTTTGTGATACCTTTGTCTGACTTGGTAACAAAGTAAAATGGCCCTTATAGAATGATTGATAAATGTTCCCTACTGGGCAGTTTTCTTCAAGAGTTTATCCAGATTTGATATTGTGCCAGTAAGGGTAAAGTGTCAATTTGATTGGCCTTGGGATCTACCAGAGGGATTGGTGGAACACATTTCTAGGTATGTGTGACTATGGAGTCTATCTGTGCCCCCTTGGCCCTTCCCCTCTGGCATTGTTAACTACTCTTACTTCTCAGCCACCATGAACTAAGCAGCATTGGTCCATACCACCTTTTTGAAAAGATGTTTCTTCCTTGGAGTTAGCTGACTATGGAATGAATCCCCTTAAAATGTGAGCCAAAGTATACTTCTTGCTTAAGGTATGGGTGTCAAGTATTGTGTCCAGCAATAGAAAAATTGACTCATATAATATTATGTATTTTTAAATATATGTGTCTATTTTTTAACAATATCATTCTTTGTTTTGATTGCCATAGATTTACTGCAGACTGAAATCAGGAAGTGTGGTATTTCCATCTTTATTCAACATGCTCAATATTGCTTTGTCTACCCAGGGTCTTTTGTACTCCTATAAAATTAAAGGCTTTTTTCTAATTTTCATTTAAAACCTGTATTGGAATTATATTACAAATTGCTTGGAATCTGAGGATTTCTTTGCACAATCTGGACATTTTAGTAAAACATGCTCTTACAATTCATAAATATTTTATTTGTGTCTTTAATTTTTTCAACAACTATATTTCAGCTCTTCAGCTAAATTTCTAAGAATTTTATTTTTGAACTAGTATTGCTTCTTGAATTGTTTAGATTGTGTATTGTTAATAAATAGAAACACCACTGCTTTTGTAACTCTCCTATGTTTGACTTTGTATACTGCAATTTTATTAAATTTATTTATTGGATCTAACAATTTTCAGAATGTATACATGCATTTTCATCACATGTAACCACACAGAATTTAACGTCTTTCTTCCCAACATCTTTTTTTCTTACTCTAGCCTTACTACTCACTCTGGGACTTCTGTGTAAAGTGGTAAGATTGAGCATTCTGGTCTTGTTCTTTATTTTAGAGAAAAGGTTTGTAACATTTCACCATTGTGTATAATGATAGGTATGGCCTTGAAATATGTGGTCTATTTTGCTGAGTTTTTATAATGCAAGAGTGTTAATTTTGTTTTATTCTTTTTCATTATGTATTGATATGATAATTCTGTGCTTCTTTGTGTCACTGTGCTGTACCAATTTATAGAACTGTATATGTTGAACTATCCTTTCATCTATGAGAATGAATCACACCTGTCTTTGGTGAATGCTTGCTGTGATATTGAATTCAGTTTGCCAGCATTTCACTGTATTTTTTGTATCTATGTTCATCAGAAATACTGACCTGTGAATTTCTTTTCTTTTCATGTTCTAGTTTGAGTTCGGTAACAGGGTAACACTACGGTCAAAAGTCAGCTTTCATTTAAAAACTGTTTTTTGAAAAGTTGGGGAATTGCAAATGTTTTTATAAAGTATTCAGCCACGTAACCCTCTGGCCCAGGGGTTTTGTTTGTTTGTTTGTTTTGATTAAAGACCTACTGATATGGATCCAATCTCTTTATTCATGTTTCATCTGGTAAAATTTTCTATTCAAGATTCATTCTAAGTAGGGTATTTGTTTGTAGGAATTTATTCATTTATCAGGATATCTAATTTGGTAGTAAATAATTATGTATGGTAGTTTCTTATGGTCTTCTTAAGTAATTTCTTATTGTATTTATGTGCTATTAATTGAATATCTCCTCCTTCATTTCCTATTTCACATGCATATTCTCATTATTTTCCCTTTTTTTTTTCCTTTGGTAATTTTATCTTTAAACATGGCATGCTATCTTTCTTATGTTTTTCTGGTCTCTATTTCATATTTTTTTTGCTTTGATCTTCATCAGTTCTCTTTCTTCAGCTGGCCTTGTAATTAATTTATTCTTCCTTTTCAATTCCTTTCAGTATTACATTAGGTTGTGTGAGATTTTTTGTTACAAATCTCTATCTTTGAATTAAATTTTCTGTATCTCAATGATTTTAATTTTTATTTGTAGATATCTTTAAATATATTTTAAAATTTTCTTTTAAATTTTTTTCCCTTCATCCCCTTGGTGTTTAGGAGCATGTTATTTAATTGCAACCCAACTGTAAATTATCTAAAATTCCACTTGTTACTTATTTCTACTTTTCTGATATTGCAGTCACAATAGATACCTGAAGTCATTTAAACCTTAAATTTTATATGACTCCTTGTGTGGTCTATTATAGAAAATATTGCATAGGCACTTGACTGTGTGTTTTGTTGCTGTTGAATGAAATGTTCTGTATTATTTTTCAGGTCCATTTGCGATCTACAGTGTATTTTAAATTGGATGATTTCTTATTGATTTTCTGTATGAGTGATATAGTGATTGATGAAAGTGCAGTACTGAATTCTCCTGTATTTATTGAAGTATGTACTATAATATATTCTTCAATTATTATTCCACATACTAAAATACATTCTTCAACATTGAGTTCATACAGATTTACAATAGTCATCCTGTCATTGTGAACTGAACTCTTATCATTATATAATGACTTTCTCTGTTTCTTTTTAGATATTTTGAATTAGAGAGACAGACTGTGAATATATGACAGATGTTTTGAGCATTCAGTTTTTTCTCCTTAATTCCAGAGCCATTTTAATATCATGTCAAAATTTACCAAACTTTTGTGAAGATCAAATGAGTCTTTGATAGACAACATCATTTTAAAAATCAATAACAATTTATCTATTACATTTATGTTGGTAAAAATGTTCAAAATATTCTAGCTTAAATGACTAATACTCTTTCTTTTTAAACTTGCCTTCTTATATATGATTTCAGTAATCTGTATTAAACAGATTCTTTAAAGATCTGAAAAATACTCTGTGCACCTGCAATTATATTTTTAACCTAAGTATCTGTTGTAGTCAGGATTTTTGAGGGAATAGATTTAATACAGGACACATAATTTATAGTTATTTTATAATATTCACCCAAAAAGTCAAATGGAGAGAAGTGAAGAGATCTTTCCACACACTAGAGACCCCAAGGATCCAGCCAAGGGCTTGGATCCCCAAGCAATGTCCTGCACAAGTCCAGCTAAAGGCCTAGAGCCCAAGGCAATGTCCTACATGAGTCTAGCCAGAGGCCTAGAACCCATGGCAATGTCTCATGCTTGTCTGTATTGAGGATCAGCGGTGGAAAGGTCCAAAGGCCAATGGTGGAAGCTAGAAAGCCTGTGGTGATGGGCTGAAAGATTTGTTCCACCAGGCTGAGGGATCTACACTGGAGCCAGGATCAATGCTCAAGGTGAAGATCAGAGCTCCCCTAATGAGAACAGGAGTCATTTCTAGCAACAGTGAGGACCTGAGCTCCTTCTCCAATGGAAAAAGCCAAGCCAAATTGCTCTCATTCTCAAAACACTTTACATTTTTAATAAAAAGAATCCACAGAACTTGCATATTCTAATGTATTCTGTTTTATAAAATTTTGTAATTTAATTTGCTCCCTTTATATCATGAATATTTGTTATAAAGCTCTATATTCAAAAGCTATAAGATCTTTTTCAACCAACATATAGACTAGCCTTTCTGTCTAGAATTTTCCTACCCTTCTCACATGTCCAATATTGTAGATTTTTCCTGCGCTTTTGCCTTGATTTAAATGTTTATTCCTTTCACTGATTTTCTGAGTTCACTATGACTGATACAGCTTCTTACCCTATGTCAAATTTATTCTCCCTGGTAGAAGGGCCAGAAGTACCACTAACCTATCTTGTGACTTGGGAAAGTGTGTGATACTTACTAAATGTCAAACAAAATTTCTTGAATGACTGTATTTTCTTTCAAGGAGCACTGACCAACCCCCATTTGGTATAAGAAGACAGATGAACAGAAATGCTATTTTCATTTTGTAAAATTTCAGTTGATTTGAAATTTTAGAAAACTATTTGAGTACTCAAGGAAATATTTAAAATGTTTATTTTAAAATTTTTTATACCGATTAGGTAGGTTTAACTTACTGAGACCACATTGTTCAAGCATGTTCCATAAAACCTAATTCCATTTCCATTACTTCTGAGAAGACTCGTAAGAGATCCAAAGTGATGTTTTTAACATGTATTGGTTTTTAAAACATTATTTTAGAAATAATAATTTATAATGAAAACCACAGTATGAATTATTAAAGTTTGATATTTTTACATATTAACTCAGAAGATTTAAAAATTATAAAGATACATTATAATTATACTTACATATTTTAAATAGTCTGAGATAAAAGGAAGATGATGAACCCTTGATTTATCCAGGAATTATAGCTGTGTTTTAAATATTTTCCATTATAATGCTTAGAATAATACTATATTAATTCCATTTGGAGGAAATGTATGATATTATTTAATGTGTTCACTTTAGTGATTCTAATAAATATTCAAAACTCACAACCTTCAAACTGCAAAAGTCATGAAAAAGTCAGATATTGCAAACAAAATTAAGAGCCCAGGCAGGAACCAATGTGTTGGCTCCTCAGTCTCTTCATGGCAGCCTTCATTTCCTGATTCCTCAAAGTGTAAATAATTGGATTAAGGAAAGGTGTGATTATGGAATAAAACACAGAAAGAAACTTGTCTACAGAATAACTGTTGAATGGAAAACCATAAATGAAGTTAGCTGGACCAAAGAAGAGAGTAACTACAGTGATGTGAGCAGTCAGTGTGGACAGGGCCTTGGAGGACGCGCTGAAGGAGTGGTGCCACAGGGTGACCAACATGATGGTGTAGGATATGAGCAAGAGAATGAAGCAGACCAGGGACAGGAGCCCACTATCTGCAATCACCAAGAGCTCCAGGACGTAGGTGTCAGTGCAGGCAAGCTTGATGACCAGGGGGAGGTCACAGAAAATGCTGTCTACAACATTGGGACCACAGAAAGGCAAGCCCACTGTGAAAGCCATCTGGCTTGTGGTATGTATGAGGCCAACTGCCCATGAAAGCAGGAGGAACACAGTGAGCATCCTGTGGGTCATGATGGTTTTGTAGTGCAAGGGCTTGCAAATGGCAACATACCTGTCGATGGCCATGGCTATCAGGAGAGACATCTCACCACCCCCAAAGAAGTGCATAAAAAACATCTGGACCATGCAGCCCCACAGTGAGATGGTCTTGCGTTTTCTAAGGAAATCTGAAATCACCTTGGGGGTGGCCACAGAGGAAAGACATAAGTCAAAAAATGATAAATTCGCCAGAAGGAAATACATGGGGGAGTGAAGGTGATGATCAAACATCACAGAGACCACAATGAGGAGGTTTCCCACTATGATAGCGGCATAGACGAGAATCAGGGTAACAAAAAAACATATCTGGATTTCTCGAGAACTTGAAAGTCCCAGCAGAATGAACTCAGAGATATTTGAGTTTTTATTTAGGATATCCATTTAACAATTTGCCTGGATTGCCTGAAAGAGGAAGACACAGGAAATCACAGATAATAATTAGTTAATTTAGATATCATTTCTGCATTTTATTACTTATTTGGGGCTTCAAACCTTTTGGAAATATGAAAGCTTTTTAGCTATTTCTTTTTATTTTTTAGATCATGATATTTTTCAATACATAAACACGGAAGAAATTGTGTAGGGCATAGAGCTAATGACATAAAATTTGCCTCTTGGTTTGTACATGGCAATGTCAGTAGGACATTTGATCAGTCTTAGTCTGATGTCTTTTTTTAGCTACAGATTAGAATGTGCATGATCAGTTTATTAAAATGGCGAGTCAGCAACTACTTAGCTTTTCATATTTTATATGTCACAGGAAAAACATTAACAGACAGATTTTTCTCATGTCCTGGATATTCGCTAAAACTTCTAAATACTTTCTCATATTTAAAAAATGCTTAAGTAAAATGTCCGCTATACAACACTAAGGAGAAAGTGTTCCTGTACTGTTGATAAAATATTGAATGCTGATGCATTTATATTGTTAATTGAAATAAACCAATTTTTTAGAAAAGATTCAGGCTTTAGACTTGAATGATTCTTATTTACTCTTAAAACTGTAGATGTTCATCCTACATATGAAATCTTTTAGTGGAGACAACAAAATAAATGTGTCTTATCTTTCCCTTTTATGAAACTTTTAAAATATTGGATCAAAATATTCACTTGTATGTGACATTCTTCTTAAATGTATTCATTTTCAAATGAAATTTATGCATAAAAATTATAGAACCATCATTAAGATTATAATAAAGTTGACGACTATTGTGTAATTCAAAAAATTTTCCTGGGAAGGGATATATAAAATGAAGGGAATCACTAGCCTTTGTCTACTTAAAGTAAAAAGAAAAAGAAAAGTTAACAAAAAATGTAGATATAATATGTGAATAGTATCTTTATGCAATGAACTTGTCTCCTTTGGATCTTTGTTTCTTTGAAATTGTCTCTAAGGTTATTTTAAAATTATGTTTCTTTCAGGATGAATATAAATCTAAAATATTTCTTCACTGGCTAATGTGGACTCAGCTAAGCTAAGTGAAATTTTAAAAGAATACACTTACTTTTAATGAGTTCAGGACATGACCTGCATTAAACCATTAAGTTCAGTTCCTCCCTTTTGTTCGATGTAGATCTGCTAACCAATACTTACCGCAAGCTTGTTGTTCATCTCCAAAAGTGTCTTGTTTTTATAAGTCCTTGAACTAGACCTAATACACATTATAGAGGAAGAAAATTCATATTGTGTAATCATTCTTTTGACATTTTGACTTGCTAATAGTAGTTTAAAAATGTAAAAGTACAGTTTCTGCATCTATACACAATCACCTAAGTATATACCCTCTTCTGTACATTACTGCTACCACTAAATATACTAATATAATAATATACTAATTATACTAATATACTAATATGCTAATATAATAATATAATAATATACTATTATATACTAGTATATATACTATATACTAATATAATACTAAATATACTAATATAATATACTAAGGTAAATATTTTATCATTATGTTTGACTCCATCTTTTAGAATAACATGAAAACTCATTTTACAAGATTATAGAATTTCAAAATGGAAATGTTTGATTCTTCATAAGTGTGACTCCTTATTCATTATTTGCACACTTAAAATAAGACCATCTTGTCAGCTATTATTCTCGATTCTCTGTGTTTCTACAAAACATATAAATAAATGGATTTTAAGGAGCACATGAATATGTAATCATAGTGTACTAAATTATTGATTTATTTCCAACTGAATGAATGTTTAAGTATTTAGCAATTTTAAATTGTTTTTATTTTATTATTAAATGTTCTCAAACATTCTTCTTGATTTGTAATAAGAAAAATGATACCATCAGTATTTTATGAAGTAGTTTCTTTTATTTTCTAGCTATGAATGAGGCATTTATTACTGTTGCAGTGTTATTATTTATCTACCTTTAAAAATAATTGCATCCCGAAAAGCAAGGAAAGATATTTCTCTGTATTATGCATTAATTTAAAAAATAAAAATTTTCAATCTGTTAAATATAGCCAAATAATTTAAATATATTTTCTTTCTTGTCCCTATGAGTTGTTCAGTTTGTATTGCTACAGCATTTTCTTAACTCTAGTTATAAAACACAGTCATTAATTTTTCAAATTATAACAAAATCTAATTCATTCCAATTTAATTTGTTTTTTCCAGCCTTCTCTTGTGTTATTAATTTGTCATTTGTCTTTTGTTACTCTTGTACACATTCAATATTGCAAATGCAAATAATGTGATTGATTGCAATATATTCATAGGGTTATATAAAATTTTAATTTAAGTAGTCTCATCACAAAAAGATAATTACAGAAGCAATGCATTTGTTAATTAGAATTTCACAATGTATACCTGTCTAAATGGCATACAAATATCATGCTGTGCACCATAAATACATACATTTTGTCACACAAATAAAAACAATATTTGGAATATATATTAATTCCTTGCCATGACACCTACCAGTTTACACTTGGACTCTGGAAGTAACACCGTTATGAAGTCCTGGATGCTTAATGTTTCAATGATGCTATGCTCTTGTCTGGAGTCAAGAGACAACAAAATTTAAATGTATCCCTTCATAAAGAGCATAGAGGAGAAAATTAATTCAATTGTTATTAGACTCCTCAGAGACTGGTAGTAAAGAAGCAATGAGGATTGTTAAAATAGCCTTTCTGCCACTACAGACAATGAGACATCATTTTTCACTTTTCAAATTGGTGAGATTTTAAAGACAATAATTAGTATTCAAGAGGGTATAGAAAGTTAGAACTAGAGGTAAACTATGGGATTTTGTGTGATATATTTTTCTATGATTATACTGTATAGGAAACATTGATAATTGTCTCACTCAGGCAAAATACAAGTATATTTTGTAAATATTGTTTTTATTTTTTGTGACAGAATGCATTTATATTATACAACATGATAATTTGATATAGGTATATATTGTGAAATGGCTATATCAAGCTAATTAACAAAAGCATTGTTTTCAAAATTACTTTTTTATTAGAATACTTAAAATGTACTTTGTAGAGTTTTTCAAGACTATAATATATAAGGCCGGGGATTTAGCTCAGTGGTTTCACTGCCTGCTGTGTAAGTGCAAGGACCCAAGTTCGATCCCTGGTACCAAAAAAAAAGACTATAATATATAGCTTTAACACTAGTCACCATAATATATATTTGATTTCTTTAACTTATTCCCTTAGATAAAAAATTGTGTCTTTTGACAAAGCTGTCACCAACACTAGCTTCTTATAACCATAACTCTACTTCTATAAGTTTATTTTTTTTACATTTTGTTTGGAAGTATGACCATGTGGCCTGTTTCACTTAATACTGTATGTCCTTCATGTTCATCCATGTTGTAACAGATGACAGGCTTTCCTTCTTTTGAATCCCGAATAATATTCCACTGTGCATATATGTCACATTTTCTTTATCTGTTCATTTGTTGGTCAACAGTTAGTTTGATCTGTATCTTAACAATTGTGAATAGTGCTGCATAAACATAGAATGGCAAATATGTTTTCAATATGTGCTTTCACTACCTTTGGATATATAACCAGTATCTGAATAATTGTATTACATGGCTGTTCTAGTTTTAATTTTTGAGAAACCTCCATGCTCTTTTCCCTAATGGCTGAATTAATTTATATTCCTATTATGATTGTACAAAGGCACACCTTTCTCTACATCTTTGCCATACTTGTCACTTTCATCTTCTTGATAACCATCCTAACAAGTCTAAGGCAATATCACGTTGAGGTTTTTATTGTCATTTCCCTGATGATCAATAATGTGGAAAATTTTCCATATATCTCTTGACTATTTTATGTCCTGACTTGAGAAATGGCCAGTCAAGACTGCTGCCAACTTTTAAAGAGTTATTTTTCTTCTTACTATTGAGTTCCTTGAAATATTTACATATTTTGGATATTAACTCCCTATCAAATATATGCTTTGTGGATGTCTTCCTCCCCTCTGTTGAGTGTTTCTTCACTTTGTCCTTTCTTTGTGGTGCAGATTTCTTTTTTACTTTGATCCAATCTAATTATCTAAACTTGGCTTTGTTTCTGGAGCGTTTAGTGTTATTTCGAAGAAATTCTCCAGGTCAATGTTATGGAAGTTTTTTCTATGACTTATTCTATTAGTTTTACAGTTTAAATATTTAATCTCTTTTGAACTGCTTTTTGTTTGTTTCCCTACTAATCTATGTAGTCATAAAGATTTCTTAATACCATTGTTAAAAAGACTATTCTTCCCCACTGTGTATTCTTGATGCCTTTGTCAAAACTCACTTGACTGGAAATGCTTGGATTTATTTCTGTGTTCCTTGTTATGTTCCAATAGCCTGTTTATTTTCAAGCCAGAACTGTTCTGAATTTATTACTGTACCTGTGTATTATGTTTTAAAATTAGCTAGTTTGTTGTCTCTACTTTTGTTCTTTTTGCTCAAGATTGCTTTGATCATCAAGGGTCTTTTGTGGTTTAATGTGACTTTTATGATTTTTTCCTATACCAAAGGAAAATGTCATTATAATTTTCATAAGGATTGCATTGAATCTGTGGCACTTGCTATATGGCATTGACACTAACAATATAAATTCTTCCAATCCACAAACACTTGATATCTTTCCATGTATTTATATCTTTTTCTCAATTTTGTTAATAAATGGTTGCACTGGTTAGTATACAGATCTTTAACTCCTTGGTTAAATTTATTCCTAAGTATTTTAGTCATTTTGATGGTCTAAATAGGATAGTTTTCTTGATTCCTTTAACTTTAAATATTTTATTTTAGTGTAATACAAGTAGATATTAATAAAGAAAATATAAAAGCTGTTTATGAAATGATAATTTTTAATCTTTTAAAGACAGTTCATTAACATATAAAAACCTAC